ATTTCCCTTCTATAGCACGGGCTTGCCTCTCTGACTGTTCCATAGCTCGAGCAATCTCTTTTAACTGTGCGAGGGTCAATCCTCGGCCCTTTTGGAGTAGCTTCAAACGAAGATTGTGCGATGAGCACTTGCTAATGACTTGATCCCTTATTTGCTCGTCCACTGCTGTRTTTTCTCCGAATTCGCAGGTTTGGGCCTTCTGTCGCAGTCTGGTGATAAACTGATCCACAGTTTCATTAGGAAGTTGACTCATTTCGCGAAAACAAAGTCTCTCGTACGGCACGTTTGCCTGAGGTTTGAAGTAATTATTCAATGCTCTAGTCGCTAGAGTATAAACACTCACTTCATCATTCGTTTCCTCCGTCAAGGTGAAATAAATATCCTGTACATTCATTCCAGCAGTGTGTAGAAGTAGTGCTTTCTTCTGTTCCGGGTCAGCGACTCCCTTGCCCGTAGCAAACAGCTCAAATGCACGTAGCCATCTTTGCCATCGGGCAWCAAGACCAGCCGAGTCCGTGCAATCAAATGGCTCCAAGCCACCTAATTCAGATAAAAATCTGGCCATGTTGTCTTAAAACGATCAATCTATATCTAAGATTATCTTTGTGGTGATCCTCGTCGCCAAATGTGGTGTATTTTCTAAATAATAATCAACTACACTAAACCATGTGCTTTGATGCTCGTCTCTTTATTACACACATGCGCACTCGCACGCTTGCAAACCTAACAGCGGTGGGGTGGGTAAATCCACCAACACTACACCCTGCAAAACAAAAACCCTAACCTAGAATATAATAAAGCTTGCTATACCAAGAAAGACCCCCAGATTTTTCTCCTTCACAGTTATAAAACAGCTGTAAATGAAAATTAATAGAAGTAGATAATTGAACATGCATCATATCCACCAACACTTCCCATACAATTTTATTGGATGCAAGATATAGTTCCACTGGATTATTCAACTTTGTACCTTACAGTGACAAACATGTGTTTATACAGTTTACTGATGCATGGAAAGTGGTCAATAAGACAAAAACAATTTTCATCTCCTTATAGCACAAAATTCATATTGCAACTATTTCTTCCTTCACCAAGATTTTAACCCCCCCTCCCCCCCCCAAARAAAATTAACATGAGCCTCTTGACTGCCTTAACAACTATACAGTAATGTTAAATCTATGAAGAGCCTACCTCATACGTAACATGAACAGGTGATCCCCTAGACACAGCAGAAAAATTCTCTAATCTTGTGGTTGCAACTGGTGTAGACTCCACATTATTGCTCCAGACAGTCTTCTTGGTTGCAGATGATGATGGTAGGGGTAGAGTGCCATACTGTTGGCTGATGTTCCGTTTTGGTGTGTCTCTCTGTAAGGTCTGGCTGTATTTTATAGATGTTTCTCGAGACACATTCTTGCTGGATGCTCTGGGGGGTGGGGTGGGGAGGTGGTGTGCTGGCTTTGGCTTGACTATGAGTAAACATAATCATATTAAACTAAGTGTAATRATTGTATAAAATAACCAAAAGTGCAATTATAAGAGTGCCTTCAACTAACAGCAGCAGCAACAACAACATTACCATATTGTAATTTTTCAAAATTTAAAGATACCAGAAGTCTTTTTATAAAGTGCGTGGCTGTACGATTTTTAACCCCAAAGGAGGTGTCGAAATTCAACATTTTTAAACCTTTCAAGAAATGCAGCGAACTTGCCCAATGCTTTACCTCCTCCCCCTGGATTGCAAAACCTTATAATACCTTAGCTAAATAGGTCTGTCATGAGAATCTAATGGATTTAAGTGCAGTTGCTCTTATCAAAGTAGCAAATAGACCCTTTTCAAGTTCCAAATTACCCCTGTGTTCCTTGATTACAGACTCATTTACTCAGGCTTAGCCTTGCATCAGTGTTTAAATATTCACAAATACCGACAGTAAAGTAAAAAATACACACAACTTCTACAATACAAACACTTTGAAATTCAACGAACCTTGACTGGAACATGTGAATATTCTACACAAAATCAAGGCTAACCCTGTGTAAATGAGTCTGTAATCAAGAAACACAGTGGTAATTTGGAACTCGAAAAGGGTCTATTGTGCTTATTCGCATTTCTCACAGGAAGATTGAACGATCGTGAGAACATGGATAAGTGCATAATACTAAAGAGAAAAAAAGAATATTGCATAAAAGACAAGAGGAGGAGAGAAGAGAAGTGCAGAGAGATACGTATATGATGTTAAAGGGTGTACCTTCAGGGGGTGTTGGTGGGGTGTCAGACATGGACTCAGCACCGGAATCACTCCTCAAGCGTGACCTATACATGTAGCTAGGGCTTAAAATCCCTACAGAATGTTGGACGCCATTACCTTCTGGGGGACCATGCTCTGCCATGCTGCTTTGGGAGCTTGAAGCACTGTCATTTCTGACAGGTAGGCTATCAAGGCTTTCGGTTTTTGTTAGGGCTTCTTGTAACATTGAAGTAAGAGTGTCAAGCTGGTCCTCAACTGCCTGGTCTTTGCTTGCTCTGCATATCAAATATCAAATTTAAAGTTTTTGAACACTTGTAATTTATATAATTGAATTTGAAAGTGCCCCAGTAGAACTTATTCCTTGTTGTGCAAAGTTTTCCCATTTCAGACCAGATGTCATTCAAAATCTTGAGAATAAGATTCGTTGTCTATTTTGTATCCATATTCATGCTTCTTCTAATGCATAATCTCTAAACAAAGAAATTATATTTTTGGGAATGAAACATGGTCTTGGGAAATTGCACCAGGATCAGTGGCAGATCTAGGGGAGGGTTTTGGGGGTTGCAACCCTCCCTATGAAAGCCATCGTGATTTATCATTATTATTATTTTTTCATGACAACACCAACAGCATCGTGAGTTTTATTAAAACAGGGGTGCCGAACACATTTCACTCGCTTTTTTTCTATACTCYGTGTGTGGGACCTGAAACAACCATGTTCGTCTGCAGCAAATAATCATTGTCATAAGACCTACTTCAGTTTGGGAACCCTGTGTTACTTTCCCGCCAAACAAGTACCTCAATCAATGCTACAACCCCCCCCCCTCCCTTTAAAAAAATCCTGGATCCGCCCCTGAAGATGAATTAGGTTTATCATAGTCTTCTCCATACTGGTCTGCAATATATTTTTCTATTTTAGTCCCTCCTCCCCTATAAGGGTGCTCTGCAATCCTTGCATTACACATCTATTTTATCAATAGGCATCACTTACCTTCTTTTTTCAGGAGACAGTTGTGCGCCAAGACCAGGGAGTGGCACCTTCTTCTTGTCCATCAAACTACCCTGTGAAACAGCTGTCCGTGTGACTGACTGCGGATTACCCTCAACAGTATGGGTCTCGGTGACAGTTGTTTTCCACTGGAAACTACCTTGACCATTTTGCATGGGGTCTGTTGGCATCACATGGCTGTGGTTTGGTAAAGGTGTACTAGTAATATACTGTTTCTGGACATGGACTGCTGATGATGGAGCATTATACGTCACAGATGCACTGGTAACAGGCTTGGATACAGGGCCATTTTGGATAGGCTTAGGAGGAGCAGAGTCTAAGATCTTCAGGTGAGTTTTGTTTGATAAATCACTAAAAAATAATCCAACGAATAAAAAAATAAAATTTGATATAAAAATCCCATTCACTCACAAATGTGTTTAAATTCAAGTGTCTGAAATGAAGTTTGGAGAAAGCCATATTGATTATTTTAAGGTGTGCCTAGCCACCCAGTTAACCCTCTGGGTCTGCCCTCAAATCCRCTCTTCATTTACCATTACTTAGAAGAGATAGCTAGCTAAAAACTAGTGTGAGTTGCGTCGGTGTTTCTAATGAAACAGTAATGATAAAAGGGTAAATTATACACCGTGAAAAGATGAAAAAACTTACTGACAAACTAAAATGAATTCGAGMTTTTTTCAACTCGATTTGCATCTCTTCAAGTCAAGGTTTATGAGTTAAATACAATAGAGGGGTAGACTGGCCACTGTTTTTCATTAAGAGTTTATTTATAAAAGCCGGATGAAAAAACTTACTGACATTTCAGACGCTAGTCCTTCGTCAGACGTCCCTAGTCAGACGTCCCTAGTCAGATGAAGGACTAGCGTCTGAAACGTCAGTATGGTGTATAATTTACCTTTTTATCATTACTTTTTCCATGACTTAGTCAAATATTGAACAACTCACCCAACATCCTCCAGTTCATAAAAGATTCCACATGAAGGATCCTTGATGTAGATGGTCTTTCTGTTGTTATTGTGTTCTCTTTTGAATTTTTCAGTGAAAGTGTTTTCAAACAGACTGTGAACTTGGTCTACTTTATTCAAATTGGTTGGAATCATGGCCCGTCTTATTTCATCGCCCAACTGTAGGTAGATAACTCCTAAGGATATAAGGGAGAAATATTACATACATATTGTGACACCCCCTCTTACTGCGGTTTTTGATATTCCGCAAACTCGGTAGTTGCGAGCTGCATGCTGAAATTTGATTTTTTGCTGTCGTCGATCAAAATTGATCAGTTGGTACCTTTTAAGTTCTTGACTGGCGGCAGTGAAAAACCAATTTCACAATAAGCTGTTGAAATGTTGGAGTTCACAGAATATTGAAAACTGCTCTAAGTATATGCCTAGCACTCTATCATGAACATAAGAATGTACCAGATTACTCACTCCTTTGCAGGTCATATACATGTCACAAAAACATAGGCACCAAAAAATTTCAAAACTTCATATCAAGTCAAATATATTTAGTATTGACTCTGGAAAATTGTACAGAACATGAAGTTTGGGTCAGAAAAGTCAACCATTAGGTTTTATAGAGGATGTTTGCATGATAGTGTCATTGACCTTTACTACCAACCCTCCCTTGCACACTTTCTTTTGTTCAGTTCATTAGCACCAATTGTCTTAATATTCTCATGAGAAAATACAAATTTAAATAAGAAAGAAAATTTGTGAAGCATCTTGGTAGTGGGAGTCAAATGACGCCATCATGCAACAACCTATTTAGGAGAAAAGTTTTGACAAAAAAATCRAAAATATATTTTATCTCTAATAATCACTATCAGTGTTAAAAATGCATGGATTAATGCATCTTAGGCTGCATATATACCTGGTGTATTGAGTGGTTGTGGTGCATCTTCTTTCCGTGGGAGGGTAGGGTAAGCTCCTGGTTGTTCCAGAAGTCTGTCATAACGAATTTGTTTTGGTGAGGAAGGGGATGGTGGTCCTTTCTGAAAAATCAAGAATAGCATGAAAATGAATTTTTTTGATGGTCTTCCACTAAGATAACCACTTTTCATTCCTCTGAAAAAACCAACATGCTCAATTCCAATTTGATTATTGAATTAGCCATGACCAGACTTCAATCAGCCAAGAGAATGTTTTGATTAAATTTCAAGGTGAAAGATTTTCTTCCTATGGTTTTTTCTTAGAAACAATGAAAGTTAAATAAATCAATCTTTAATAAATGAAATTAGCATAACCAATCATTGGTGTTGAACAAAAGACGACTTTCACTTACAGGTCACGTGACCCTACCTCCCTTAGGACGAGCAGTTGTGTGAAAACGAACTTTAGAAATGAAAAGAGCAGCTCAACTTTAGTAAGGAGGTGAAGTTTCAGCTCATAATGTTGACTATAGGATAAATGGCATAAAAAATAAAATAGAACATTTTACAAGGATTTGTGTGGGAAAAGTGTTGGCTGGCAACCTCTTGCCATCCAGCGTATTTTCCCACACAAATCCTTATAATAAATTAAAATATATTTAATCCTATGAAATATTAGATTTTCTATTTATTCCATTTCTCCTTTTTGCTCGTCATGAGCTAAAACTCCCCCACCCTACTAATCTTTTCATTCTGGATGTCCATTTTGACACAGCTGCTCTTTTTAAGGGAGGTAAGGGTCACATGACCTGTTATAGTGCAATTCGTCTATTAAAGTATGAATGTAAACTATTTCCTGAGTTGAATTGGCATTGCTGTAACTTCAATATTGTATCTTTAGCACTATGGAATGGCATTATATAATATGACTTCAAAAACTTATGAATAATTGACAATCACTGCACATGGCAATGATGTACAAACCTCACTGTGAATGATATTGATGCACAAACTTCTATCGAAGTATAAAAGTGCATGTTCTTGACTCATATAGTTGCTCTAATTCAACCAAAGGTTTGTGAATTATGCCTAAGTTTTTAAACCTGATAAAACACGCCTGCTCGTTTATTAAATAGTACATAAGAGATGGAAGCAAAATAATGGTGTTTTGAAGCTATACCTCTTCATGGATGGTCACATTTGGCCTAGCAGGGTTACCAGTTGAATTTAGACCAAATCTCTGTTTAACCATGGCAATAATCTGCTGTCTATTAAGTGTTCCACCATGAGCATCCTCTGGTTCACTGGAGTATCCTGACATCTTTGCTCTTGTAACATCATCAGCGATCTCAGCTCCTCCAGTAGTACGCCGGCGAGGGCGACGGTTTTTGCTGTATCCCTCTGTGTCACTGAGGGTTGCTGTATCTGTGAAAAATATCAATAAGGGCTGTTATAAAGTGGTTGAAGGTAAATGCACCAATCATTAAGATATAAGCCAATTGAGGGCCAATTATTAATTATAGCCCAAGGGAATTTTGAAGAACATCAAGTGTTTTAAGAAGAATTGTTACTTTTTTGTTTTCAATCAGGTCCAACAATCATATTTCTTTTCATTTCATTTTTTTTCATGTATCAAAAAACAAGTGAACTTTTTTTCTGAAAATGAGAAGATGATCAAAATAACAAACTTTTAAGGATTTCTTTAGAATTTGAAGAATGGTCAACTTCTTGATATTCATACCATTTAGATACAAGACCAATATATTTAATCACTAATAATTAATTATAAATGACACAGTGGAATATCATGTTTATATAACTTGGAAAAACGTCTAAAGATTAAAAAATTCAAACAGAATTAAAGCTTCTAGCTTAAGAATTAAAAATAAAATGAAATTTACTAAATCACTAATCTGGTCTTTAATAATTGTTATTGGGGGAAATAATGAAGTTAGAAATCCCACACCACACGCTGTAGCACATTAAATTATGACAGATCCTAAATATTTTTTTCTTAATGTTAAAAAACTCATTAATAATTCATCAAGAAAACACAATAGAAATCATGACCATGAAGGTTTTATATCTGATATAGATTCGTCTTCATTTGCATAAATTTTAACTTGGATTTTCTGTACAATATGAGAACATACATCATGAGTTTTTTAAGCCATTCAATAAACTCGCAGATGGTGTTTTATCTGATAAAACACTTCTGCTCGTTTATTAAACACTACAAAGCAAACATGCATGGAAATAATTAGACTACAAACATGAATCAACAAATAGACATCTTCTTGATGATTTTCAAGTATTATAATGTACAATATGTTTACATTAAATAGATGCTCAAGTGATTAAACTTAAATTTGAAGGATACCCATATTAAGATGAATAGTAATAAAGTATGTAAATAAAGGTCTTAAATATGTACTTATAATTATTGTTATGAGTAACTATAAACTAACAAATTAATAACATTAATTGAACAAATAAGCCCTGGTGATAGACAACTCGAAAAATATATCAGAGATGATATCCCATACATTTTGATATACTTAAGATATACTTGTATATATATATATGTACAAAAGGGTCAAAGTTTATGCAAACCACAGTGTACATATACATATATATATATAATTTCAAGAAAAATTTAATTTTGTATAACTTTGACCAAAGAACCAGGACACATCTTATGACTTTATTATGGCATGCCAAACATTAGAATTCATTAATTAACATAAAAACAATTTAAATATGAATATAATTTTCCAAAAACATTGGGTTTATATTTTAAAAAAACTTGAAGCTGTAATAAGCACATGATTTGTAAGAAAACATAAGTCATATACTACACATGTCAAGAGTTATCTTATGAACGAGAAATTGTTAATGAGGTGTTCATAATGGTCTAATTGTACCTTGATCAAAGTCATTCTCCTTTCGATATGTCACCCTACTCCATGTAGCATAACCACTGCTGTTATTCACTCTATCCATGAATCTTTTAGGTCTATAATCCCAGGATATATGTTTTATACAATACTTGATCTCATTTGTTGTTTTCAGTAAACATCTGTAATCATGTATTTATCACACGTCTTTTAAATTTGACTCTGTTTTAAGGGAAAGATGACAAACAGGCCACAGGCTTGTCTGTTGTCAGGATAGGTGTAAAAGGACACCAAAGAATGTTATCAAAGTGTCTGTTATATTAATCATGTAGTGTTATATTTCATGATGTGTTAAATATAGACCCTTATACTGTTAAATATACTCAATGAGTCACATGTTGAATTTACCATTAATTAACAATATTGTTCAAAACAATTGTATTTGGTTTGAATTTAGCATTTGACCAGAATGTGATTTAATGGCATGGCTTCTTCACTCTTTCTGTCTGTGCCATTTATGTAAATTAATACGAGTTAGTATAACAGAATAATGTCAATTCCAAAATAAATAAGACTTATTAATGAAACATTTGTTGATAATTTGAAACAAACCTTTTAAAGAACATAAAAGATATAAAGCATAAAAATTAATGAACATTTTCCAGGTTAAARTCACCAAATATTTTAATCAAACAGTTTTTTATTTATTTTTTACTTCTAATTTTTGTTGGATGTATGTTGACCTTTATGGCTGGATCATAACCAACAGTTATTATCTATTGTTATTATTAAAATCAAGCATGCAATGACTTTTCATTAAATCGTCTTAATGATGTTATTTAGTAATTTACTAGTGAAAATATCAAGTAATTGAAACTAACACTCTCACATTACAAAATATCCTTGTAGTTAATTTAAATTTTTAAGACAAGATATATTCTATTGATTTACATGATGGTACCATAGGAAGAAAAGCGAAAAAATAAGTGATAATTCAATCAATACAATATTTGGAATTTTGGTCAAATTTAATAAGGATTAATAAATGAAGCACACTTAGAAAATAAGAAACCCCTACAATTTATGCACATAAAAGTAGAGCTTATTACTTTGATTCCTTCTAGCAATAAATACTATTTTTTCGCTTTTCTCTGTTGTCCTTGGATAAAAAACGTTTATAAAATATTTTGGAAAAATACAAAACAAGTTTGAATAAATAGATAAAAATAAATACAAATAAATACAAAATATAATAAAAAAATAAAAGATATAAATATTATAGATAAAAGTAATATCGAAATTTGTTTAAAAGCTGGCAATATTTAAAAATAAAACATAATTAAATTTACAGTATGTTCCTGAACAAACTTGAAATTGAATTTTATTTAAATGAAAAAAATGGATCTGTAAATCTTGCTACTCGCAATAATAAATTGTTTTGAGTTTTGAGTTCTATAGCTATTAAATTTATAAAATTGAAGGAATTCTTCAATATTGTTAATTATGTCTTTTGCTTTAAGGATTGGTACAAATTTTCGTACTAGTATATATATATATATAATTTTAAAGTCATGATTTTAAAAATGCAAGATGAATCTTAAAATCATGGCAGTCTAAATTGTGAGATGTTAGATGAAAATTATGAAGATATTGCTAATAAAACTGGTATATATTACAAATGTAAAGAACATGTTTATGATGAGAGAGCAAAAATAATAACAGTTCTAACCTTCAATTTCTGTCAGCCTGGCTTTGTACACTCTGAGTGAACCATACCTCACAAATTGTTTACTTTCCCCAAGCTCATGGTAATAAAAATTTGTTGGTTGCATAGTCAAAACACAGATATAAATTGAACACAACTCCTCTTGATCTTTGAAATTCTATGATCTTGTATGTTTGAGAATCACAACTCTAGAGTGAGACCAAAAATAGATTCAGAAGGACTTCTGTGTAATAAATTGTATTCAAAACAACCAAAATAAAGCATGTCACCTCACATGAAGACAACTAGATTAACTACAGCATGCTCTTTGATGAATTATGATTTCCTGATAAGCTGCTTTGAGCACATCTGCTGGGTTTAGACCTCTAATGCTACTAAAAATACTCCAAATTTGAGGCTATGATTTTTTAATGAATTCGCAGCACATAAACATCCAAAAACGATAGTTCTRTCCTGTATTTCCCCAAAATCAATTATATTTCATGAATATTCATGTAAATGTGCAGCTGATATTTGAGAGTATGTCGAACCTATATGCTAATTTGTTTTTAATTTCTGTTGAAAGGAAAGAAAAGGTTCATACACCAGAGGTACTGTGAAAATGTAGAAAAAAATACTGTGGAATATTTAATGTTGAATTCGAGAGTTGACATATTTCACAAGAAATGTCACATGAACTTTATATCCAAATATTAACACGATTGTTCAGTCAATATTGCATATATTATTTCTATTTTATAGACTTCTTGGAAGCAAGTTTAAAATGCTAATCATTTTCCATAATTATGCTTAATTAGGATCCATTACTGTATCACAATAATTACTGAGAAAATAAGAATATTTAATGTTGACTTCAACATTGACATATTTCACAAGAAATATCACTTGAACTTCACTTCCAAATATTAACGTAAATGTTCAGTCAATATTGCAAGCATTATTCCTTTTTTCTAGATCAGCAAGTTCAAAACCCCATGCATTTCACATAATTCTTCCTATTAATAATAAATATAAGGAAACTATAATTAACTATATTCAAGATAATTTACTGATTGGTATTTGTTTACTTCATCACCATGACAACAAAAGGATTTTCTAGAATTAAGAGTTTATTTAAGCAGGAAGCCCAAAGATCTAATTATCACTTTGAAATTTAAGTATGAGAACTTCTATCAAAAACTATCTTAATCAAAAGACCAAATTATTCTAAATTTAAATTTGTAGTGTATAAAAAAAGAACATACAGAAAAATAACAAGAACTCCTCCTAAATTCCCAAAATTGAAAATAGAATTTTCCCTAAATCATTACTA